TTAAATATTGATATTTTTAAAGATATAAGCTCATTCTGATGTTACGTTCATCAAGAGCTTTCATTTGAATACCTACATGATTTTTTTATATATTTTTCATATATACATATATATTATATATATAAATATACAAAATATATGAAAAATTGATGTGGATACTCAAATGAAAGGTCTCGATGAGTGTAATGTCAGGATGAGCTTATATCTTTGAAAATGTTAATAGTTCACAAGATACGTTATCTCTTAATTGTTGACATTTTTAAAGATATAAACTCATCCCGATGTTACACTAGTCAAGAGCTTTCATTTGAGTACTTACATGATTTTTTTATATATTTTTCATATATACATATATATAATATATATAAATATACAAAATATATGAAAAATTGATGTAGGTACTCAAATGAAAGGTCTCGATGAGTGTAACATCGGGATGAGCTTATATCTTTAAAAATGTCAATATTTCACAAGATACAAGGTCATTTCTTAATTATGTATCTAGAGATAGAGCCCAAATATTTATCATCATAAATTATTGGTGACAATGAAATAAAAAGGCACAAATTCAAGTTTTCTTATTATCTTAATAATATAGATTATTAACATCCTCGATTATTATCTTGTTCCAGATCCGAGCAGCCTGTGGATCTTCAAATGACTCGCTATTCTTATTTAACCCTCCCCGATAAATTTTTTCCAGTTTTTGTCTTCCTTTTGGCTTCCCCCACTTAGTCTCCGAGCGACCTGAGGCCCGTATTAGGAAACCTGGAGTCATTGTGCCTGTACCGGTCGATAGCCGAAACCAGAAGATCCGCGAACCAGAAGAACGAGAACCGGTGATAAAAAAATCTTTTAAAATTCTGGGGAAAAAAAACGAACCGAGTCTTGTCTTTGGCACTTGTTAATTATAACAATATCTTTTTAACAAGATTATTTTTCCAGAAGGAAAAAAAAGCTCCCGGCAAATGAATGAACCGATCGATGAATGGATCGAATAATGAGAATTACGTCCGGTTATAAATCCTGAGAATCCTGTTCAACTTACTTCTAATCGTTACTTAAAGTTAAATAAGTCGGTTGTTAGTTTTTAGTTTGTTGAATAAACTTTTATTGATTTTATAAATTTTATAAAAAGTCGATTCAATTTATTATTACAACTTAGATTTTTATTTTATACAATTTATTTAATAAATTATTTGTTTTTTTAACACTATTAAGTATTATTATTTTTATTACAAACATTTTTCTTAAATAATTGCCATTAATTAACATTATTAATATACAATTTACATTGTTATTATTTTACAATAAAAATATATATTTAAAATTTTTTTAATATATAAATTTAATAACATACAATTATTAAAATATTTATTCATAAAAAGCATTATATAAATAAGACTAGAATCCAGCAAGTATTAATTAAATACTCTTAAAAAAATATGACAACCATATATATATATATATATATATATATATATATATATATATAAATATAATTATAAATAAAGTATTCTCACTCTCTTAATCAACAAATGCAAGATTTAAAACAGTAACATTTATAAAAATAGTAAATCTCGCTATTAATTTATTATTTATTAATTCGAATTAAGGCACGAATAAAAACGGTCTTTGGTTATATTTTTTCTTTTTTAGATATTTAAATTTTACAGTCTCGATCTTTGGCATCGGGCTGTGCCGATTTTTTTTACGAATTTATTTTTTAGGATTTAAATTTACTTTTTAAACTTAGTTAATAAGCTTTTACTTAAAGAAATATGAGCGCGAAAAATTTTATTTTTATTTTAGATTATTTTTAAAAAACACTTTGATGTTCTAATTAGCAATTTATCTAACTCCTTATTTATAATAGATTAATTATAAATTATTTGAATGATCCAAACGAAAATATTATACCTATATTAGATATTAAATTATTTTTTGAAGTGATAATAAATTTTGAACCACTTGTTTTTTCATCTAAATAGAAGATTTTCTAAAATAGAGTTAGACAATTTGCTAATTAGAACACCGCCTTTAAATTTAAGGAAAAAAAAAAAATTGAGATTTTACCAAGCCAGGAATCGAACCCGGTTCTATTGATTCAAGAGTTTGTTCCTCTTAATTTTTTTTCAAACCAAAATTGATCTATTTAATTGATACCTTTTAATTCAAAAAATTACTCCTATTTAGACAATTTACTAATTAGAACTCTGACTTTTAATTCAATAGAAATTTAAAAAAAAATGGAGATTTTACCAAGCCAGGAATCGAACCTGGTTCTATAAATTCCAGAGTTTTTTCCTCCTAATTTTTTTTTCAAACTAAAATTGATACCTTTTAATTTCCAAAATTACTCCTATTTGGACACTTATGCATTAATGTATTAAGTGCTATGGGAATCCTATGTACTTAACACACTATTGCATAACAGAGTCCATTTAGACAATTTACTAATTAGAACACTGACTTTTAATTTAATAGAATTAAAAAAAAATGGAGATTTTACCACGCCAGGACTCGAACCCGGTTCTATTAATTCCAGAGTTATTTCTTCCTAATTTTTTTCAAACCAAAATTGATCTATTAAATTGATACCTTTTAATATACAAAATCACTCCTAATTAATTTTCTATCAATTAAATCATTTTTAAAAAAATTTTTGAATCACGCTCATACATCCTTAAGTATCCAAATCACTAATCATCCATAAATTACCCAAGCAGATTAAAAAATAAGCAATAAAAAAAGATCTCCAATCTAACAAATTGTACTGTAAGTATTTCCTGATAAAAAAAACGTAACATAAATGCAAATTCACGAAATCTGAGGATGTTGTTCAGGACTGTGAACATCCATCCCCTGAACAAGAGGCAGCGGAGAAATAGAATTATCCATTTCTTCATTCTCCGGCAGCTCAATTTCCCCGGTTCCAGGATTGACGCCGCTCAGATCTCTGACATTTCCAGGCAAGTAGTCCTTCCAGCTGCGGAACAGATACCTGGTGAACTTCCTGAGCTGCCGGAACTTGCAGTAGGTGGCGCCCTCCGCAGACTCTAGCTGCTGAGTCTGAATCAAAAAGCCCTTCTCCTTGAAAGTCTGCTCTAACTTCTCCCTCTGGAGAGACTTGCGAGTTTTCCTCTTCTTGCGAACATCATCAGGGTGCTGATGAATCTGGTTCTGGTTCTGGCTCACCCTGGACGGCGAAGATCCAGGATCCATTGGCACCGGAGCAGAAATTTTCTCCCCAGCGGCGCTCAGAAACGTCCCAGCCGCCGATCCGCTGGCTTGCTGCAGCGACTCCCTCGGAAAGAACTCATAACCTCTCATACTTTTGTCCCCGGTTCCACTGTAGTACCTGAAGTTCCCGCCAGAGTCCACGCTCAGGCTCTTCTTCTCCTGCAAGCTAGGCTTGGCGCCGCCGGTGAACTTAAATTTACAAATGCTGACCTCTGTCGCGGGGTTGTTCGTGTTCTCGGTCGGCATCGGCGGAATGAAGATTGCCGAGCGCTTCCGCTTGGTCGGCTGCTGGTGCGTCAGCGGCGCGATCCGCTTCGTTCTTGGCGACACTGGAACAGCCGCAGGAACCATCGCAGATACCGGGCTCGTCGGCGAAGAAGACGATGAAGACGAAGAGGAGGATGAAGATATCGCCGCTTTTGGAACTATCTTCTGTTCCTTCTGTTCCGGCATGTTCTCGCCCATCTTCTGGTAGTACAAGAACTGCGACTGCAGCGCCATTGGGTTTATGAACACTCCGTTAGGCCAGTATACTACATTTTTATCATTATTACTATTAGAACTATCATTGTTCCCAGAACCGAGTCGAGTTTTGGAAAGTCCAAGACACTCTATTTCTTCACCATCTTCACTGCAAGTTTCACTTTTAATAACACCGGATTCATAGACACCGTGTTTTTTTGATAATCTTATCTTTAATTGGTTTAAATCTTTTATACACAAATTAAGTGGTTCATCTTGTTCACGTTCTTCTTCTGTTGCAGCTAATCGACGTTCTTGAGTAAGTCGTTTTTCTAATAAGCTACTTATTCTGTTTTGGATGTCTGTTCGTTGAAGTGGAACTTGAGGAGTTGTTGGTACGTTATTATTATTATTATTATTATTATTATTATTATTATTATTATTATTATTATTATTATTATTATTGTTATTATTGTTATTATTGCTATTACTATTACTATTTAAATTATTGTTGTCATTATTGTTGTTAAGATTATTATTATTATTATTATTATTAAAATTATCATTAGAAGAATAATTTTTTTTATCATCATGTCCAGGCGTACCAGGAAGAATAGTTCCATAATTTTTATAAATAAGGTGACAAATATCAGCCTTCTTAGGTTTTCTTCCCCTCCGAGGTTTGCTGTTCTCCAAGGTAATCTCCCCCATGTATGGCAAGTCTGAGTACTTCATGGGAGGTCTTGTAGATTGAGCTGCCACTGGCTGGTAATGATTATTGTTATTATTGTTGTTGTTGTTATTGTTATTGTTGTTGTTGTTGTTATTATTATTGTTGGTGTCATTGAGATGCTGAGAGTAGGGATGAGAAGTAATGACGGATCTCCTTAGGTTCGGGTGGAGCTCCGGGCAAGTCAGAGGCTGTCGGGGGCAGAGTTCTTGCTGCATGGCGGCGATTCTCTGCAGCCACCCTTGGACCTCCGGTGAAGCCGGGCTGGGAGTTGGAGTCGATGTAGATGTGGCTGGAGTCGCGGGACTTTGGATTAGAGATTCCGGGCCTGGGAGAGGCGAGTTCAGGGCTTCTTGCGCCAGAGCCGCTTCGTAGTGGTCCAGGTACTCGGGGGGTAATGCTTGGTGGTGGAATTTTAACTTCCAGCGGGATTTTCTTCGGCCTCGGCTGGAACATAATTTAATTTACTTTTTTAGACTTTTTTTTTTTTAATAAATTTTAAAATTTATTTAAAATTAGCCAAAAATTTATTTTAAAGATTTTTTATAAAATTGAATTGTTAAAAAATAATTTCATGAAATTTTTGATTGATTTTTTCTTTGGTTCAAAATTTTTATAAAAAATATCACTTAAAATTTTTTTTTATCAAATTTTATTTTTTAATAAATTTTTAAACTTATAAAAAATTTTCTAATAAAATTTCAAAGTATATTTCTATAATAAAAAAATATTAAAAATTGTTTCCTGAATAAGCTCATAATTAAAAAGAATTAAAAACAAAATTTAAATTCTTTTTAATACTTTTAAATATTTTAAATTAATTTTTTTACAAAAAAATAACATTGTCAATTGAAAAAAAATTCAAATTTTTTAAAAATAAAATTCCAACAATTTAAAAAAAATTTCGAAATTATTTTTATAGCCCAAAATTTCCATAAAAATTTGTAAAACTAAGTCGATAACTCTAAGGTAAAATGTGTTGCAGTGAATGAAAATAATAAAGCGGTGGTAGGTGAGACGGTAGATGGTTGTTTGGTATATGTTTTGGTTGTTTTTATTCGATTGGCATAAAAGAAAAGAACCTGTTCTGCTGTATGTGGAAGGTACATTGAAGCAATTCATTCATACGAATGCTCATGATTCCTCCTCAGCCAATAAATTCTCCAGATTTCGACATTTCAAGCTCATCAGTTCAAATAAACTCAACTTTTTCGGTATTTTATAAAAATCAATTATTATAATTACCTGGTCCTGGACCTGGCGTCTTTGTCCTGATTGGCCCGCTCGGCGGAGCCAGACTCCGGCTGCGGAGGGGCACTATCGTGACCGGCATGATGGAGATGAGTTACAGAAGTAATTTCTGCGAGCGGACTGGCTTTCGGGTCTTGCTGACTGGTAAGTGCCTCATTAGAGCCCGATCTTGACATCCCCAGGACGCTAAAAAATTTATCTTTTATTCATTTCTTCTCACTATTTATAAATATATTTATTTATCATTTTTTCGGATTGCTCAAAAAATTACCTGGTGTTTTTACAGCTCTTCCGACGCTCCTCGTCTTCCTTCGGCTCCTGCTTGACCGCCATTGGAGCCACTACTGGCAGGGGACTCTGCAGAAGTGGAGAGTGCTGCTGATAAGGCGAGCTGTCCGTCAACGAGCCATCTACGCCTATTCCAGTAGTATGTGCGCGAGGCACTTGCTCAGTTTGCATAATTCCCCCTGGAAAGACAAATTTTTTATATTTATTTTATTATAGATACTTTTGGTTGATTATTTTGGACATTTTAAAGCCTCTTTATCGCTCCAGACACTTTTTTTAAGATAAGGTCTCTTCGATTCTCGATAAATGGTCACTTTGTGTGAGGTCTATGTTTTATTTTTATTATTTAATAATAGTTTATTTTTTTTAACTGTTTAAAAATTATTTTTTTAAGCTAAATAATTTTAATGGATAATTTTAGCTTATTTAAAAAAAAAAAAAATGAAAAATTTATAAACTAAAAAAAGAAGTTTGGACAAATTTTGTAAAAGATGTAAAAATTAATAGAAATAATTTTTCTTTATAAAAAATAGTACTTTAAAATGTAATTTTTATAATTTTTTAATTGATTTTTTTTTGTGGGTACTTTAAACAAAAAAATGGAAAATTTACAGACTAAAAAAAGAAGTTTGAACAAATTTTGTAAAAAATGTAGAAATTAATAGATAAAATTTTTTTATTTATAAAAAAATTAATTTAAAATGTAATTTTTTGGAGGTTTTTATCATTTTTTAATTGATATATTTTTTGTGTGGCTATTTTGAGCAAAATAATAAAAAAATTACAATTTTAAAATAGAATTTTTACAAATTTAGAAAAAAAAGACAAATATTTATTTTAGCTTAGCTAAAATCAAAAAAATTAATTTTTTTTAATAAAAAATCCATTTTAAAACAGTAAAAATTCACACTTAGAAATCTATTTAATTAAAATTATTATTAAAAATTGTACTTAAAAAAATTTACATTGTAAAATGTCTAAATTAAATAGTTATGATTTTTTTTATTAGTTATATTAACAGTTAAAAATTTTTTACTATAACTATAAATGTAATTTTTGGAGATTTTTATCATTTTTTAATTGATCTTTTTTTTTGTGTGAGTATATTGAGCAAAAAAAAATGGAAAAATTACAATTTTACAATAGAATTTTTGCAAAAAAAGACAAAAAATTATTTTAGCTTAGCTAAAATCAAAAAAATTAATTTTTCAATCATTTTTTTTCATAAAAAATGCATTTTAAAACAGTAAAAATTTAGACTTATTAATTTATTTTATTAAAATTTTAATTTAAAACTGTACTTAGTAAAATTTACATTATAAAATGTTAAAATTAAACTGATATATTTTTTTTTATGATTTATATTGACAGTTAAAAATTTTGAATTTGAATTTAAGTCAAAAAATTGACTTGTAAAATTTTTTATTGACCTAAAAATAGAAAAATTATAAAATATAAAATTTATAAATAAATAAATATTGCAGTGAGACCAGAAGGGCATTGAATAAGATATATTAATAGATCGGCGTTTTTTGTTAAGTAAGAATAAAAAAAAAATGTATAAATAGTGTTTTTATAAAAGAGAGCGAAGAATAAGGTAAAATGAATTGTAAAATATAATATGTAGACTATTAATAGCCGCGTAGATATCCGCTGGCATGACGCCACTATTTTGGGTTTGTCTCTCTCAAATTTCTCACGCCATATTTGGTATTATGGTGCTACTTGGAATTGTATTCCACTAGTGTTGCGTTTCTTCTTTATAACTTTTATATACATGTACTTAGTCTGTTCCTCACTTACGAGCAGCTTCTCACACCACCCCACTAAGTACGTCCCAAATTACCCGCGATTCACGGATCCGTCGCTCTACAAATAGAATCCCGATTTACTCGAAAAAATTTAACATTATGCGCAAACCATATTCTTCTTTTAAATATTAAACTATTCAATAATAAATCTATTGATTTTTTTAAATTATTATTTATGTATATACTTGTTGTTATTATTATTATAATTGTTGTATGTCACAATTGCATGACAATGATCTAGTCAATCGATCATGCGCGACAGATTACCATCAATGATAAACAGTTAATATTTATATATTTAAATATATCAACGTCGACATTCTACTCCTACATTTTATTATATTAATTTATATATTGCTAATTTTATTTTATTAATGTAAGCTGTCAAAAAAAAATTGTTTCAATTTTTATATTGAAAAAAAATTAGTTTTTATTAAATTTACTGTCACTATGTGATTGCGGTGACTTGTAAACTATACAAAAATAAAAATTTTGATTTTTTAAATAATGATTATTGTTAAATTGCACTGTACTTTCTGAAATATTGACGTTTTTTAAGATATAAGCTCATTATGGTGTTACACTCATCAAGAGCTTTCATTTAAGTACCCACATCAATTTATCATATATTTTTCATATATACATATATATAATATATATATATATATATATATATATATATATATATA